CCTACACAACGTCGAAAAAATTTAAAAGGTATTTTATATGTTAAAAAAACATTCAACACAATTATTATATATACTGATAGATCAACCATATAAATATATAATGTTAAGGATTCTGACTCTAAGTCCATAAGAGAGAAGACGATTATTTGGGTAAGAACTCCCGTGACAATCTTCATTTGAGTATGTTGTATAAAAACAACTAATTCAATAACATCTATAAAAATATAAGACAGTTCATCATATTAAATTGGTATAATAGATTTTATTATTTTGAATTAAATATATAAAATTTTGAAATAAAAATAAACAAAAATTTAGAACGTACAAATTAATATGGATTCATCCTTCCACTTGTGAAACTTGGTTTGCCCGTTAATAATGATCCTCTAAGTGTAAATTGTCGATTTGTAGATGCTAATATTGCTTTCCACTTAATAGTTTTTAAAGATATAAGTGGCACCTTCTTCAATTTCGTCGATGAATTGTGGAATGTTGACGGGTCGGATTATACCAATAATTCATCCTCCCTAAGAAAGTACATATTCAATAACTAATTAAGAAAGATCATAAAAAAATGCAGCATAAAATGATGAATAAAAATAATAATACAAGGAAAAATTACATCAGAATTGTGAAATACAGTCTTAAGAGCGTTTCGATAATTGCGCTCGTCTTCAATGCGTTGGAACATTATAATGATGTGTAGCTTGATCATTAGCCTATTGGTTCTTTTGAGTCTTTGATTTTTCCAAAAAACAAAATCATTTTGGATGGGGATGAAAAAACTTATTCAAAAGTTTGTTTTGTGGAATGCATAATTTTCAGTCGATGTTTTGTTCAATGATCACACCAATGTGGTGTTTATATAGTGATTGTACATGTGCCGTGTACCTAGAAATTCGAATTTTAAAAAAAGAAATTATCAAAAAAAAAAAAATTGAAAATATAATTTCAGATATTTGGTAATGTAATCAAGGATTGACATTAAATTGATTAAATTTTATTTTCCTAACTAATTGGATAATGATTGACACAAAGTTCAAAGCTAACAAATTTTGTTATAAAAGAAAAAAGGATAGAAAATTTCAATTGATTTGATTCTCAAAACCTAAAAATCTGTCAATTTTGATGGGATGATGTCAATTGATTTTAATTTTCATAACCTAATATTATGTCAATTTTTAGAAATTCACATGGATTTTGTTAGAAAATAAAAAGAGGATAATTTTATGGAAGATAATTATAAGCAAACATTTTTTAATGTATCAAGGGTTGCTTAAAAGAGTTGTATTGGGATTGTATCACTACTACTTGAAAAAATCGTAGGATATAAGCACCGAACATACATCCCAAAATTAATTTATTGAAAAAAATAAAAAGATGACCAAATTTGAAATGATTTGCATTCGAATTTTTATTTTATTTGAATTTACTATCATAAATAATTGGATTAGGATTGACATCAAACAAAAATTTTATCCGACTTTGTTTAAAAAAAAGGGATATGAAATGTGTTGTATATTGCGTTTCAAATATAAAAAAACTTGAATTTAAAAAGAAAAAAACATTAAATCTATTAATTAAAAGAAAGATACAAAATTGGTGTGAATCTCGTAAGAAATATGAGATTGCACGTTATGTCATAATAGATTTGATAAACTATTAAAAAAAAGGGACACATTGGTTTTTACATATAAAATTATTTTTTTCCAAAAGGAAAATAAGATATCAAATTCAATTAAATATGCACAAATTATGTATGTGATATCAATTAATTTGAATTTAATTCATCAAAATTATTTGATTTGTTACCAAAATTGTACTGATACGTTTTTTATTATGTGTATCACATTCAAATCTCACATTTTTCAAATTCAAATGCTTTCCAATTTTATGGGATATTCATTGATTTGAGTTTTGAAAACCTAAAAATCTTGAATTTTAAAAAGATTCACATGGATTTAGGTAGAAAATAATAAGAGGATCAATTTAGTTACCAAATAAGATTTAAACCATTTATCACGTGTATGTTTTAATTTGTTACTTATAAAAGTAAGTCAACAATTTATTTTTTAAGTCAAAATTACTCTTTATGTATTTTTCCAACAACTTTTTTTATGAAATTTGTTAAAAAGAAAAAGCCCAAAGAATCCGATCATATTGTGAAGGTTGTTACAAAAATAAATTATGCTAAAAAATTTTAACACTTTACCAAATTTTCGGCTAGAGATTTTGTAAATAATTATAAAATTTGTTACCGAAAAAAGTCCAAAGAATCCGATCATATTGTTGAGGTTGTTACAAAAAAATAAAATGATGCTAACAAATTCGAATCCCTTACCAAATTTTCGGCTAAAATATTTACTAAAATTCTTAAAAATTATTATAATATGTGTGTTGTAGAATACTAGTATGTGGCCCGTGCGATGCACGGGTAAATAATATTAAATAATAATTATAAATTAACGATATAGGTAAATAATATGTATTCGTTTAGGATTTTGAGTGCCACTTTGAGATTTTTTAAGATTTGAGACTTTTAAGATGGTCAAATTCTAGAGGAATACTATGAAATCTTAAGTGTGAATGTGAGATTTAGAGTGAAATTTTGTATGATGTTTTTTTCTTTTAAATCATAACTAATCTTAAAAAGACCTAACAAATCTTTATCTCAAATAAGTTAAATATTTAAGGATATTTTAAGATTTTTTTTAATTTTTAAATATCAAAGATGAACCGCTTTTGTTACCAAAAAATGTGGACACAATTTTGATTGTACATCCCGTCCAAATATCAGTTTTATTCTAAAATTAAAATTGCACGTGTTTTTATTCAATTTACACACTTTTTTTTAAAAGAAAAAATTGTTCAATAAGATTGGAAGAATTAGTTAAGAATTATACAACTATTTGTTCCCAAAATTTGTATCCAATTTGTACGGTTTTTAAGTTAATTTGTATTTAGAATTGTTTTCATAAATAATTGACACACTTTTTGCATAAGAATCTCCAAATTTGTTACCAAAAAATATAGGATTTAAATTTTGGTACAAAAAAAATGGAATTCAAATTTTGCCATAAGAATCTCCAAATTAGTTAAAAAAAAAATAGGATTCAGATTTTGTTACTAAAGATTCACATGTATTTTTTTTAACTTTCCATTAATAGTAAGTCAAACATTATATTTATTTGGTCAAACATTCTATTAATGTATTTTTGCAACAACCTCTTTATATATACTAGTACGGTGCCCGTGCGATGCACGGGAGCATTTACTATTATATATATTTTTTAAAAGATATTTTTATATTTAAATTGTCTCATGCCATTAAAAATTTCATGAAAATGGAATTTGTATGTTTGAAAAGATATTAAACACTTCCGTATGTACAACATTATTGATTTGATTCTTTGGCACGTAAAGTACTACATAAGTGTTCGAAGTTATCCAAAATTGCATATTATTAGTTATTAGTTAACAAATTTTAAAAAAATTAAAGGATCTTATTTATTGAACAAAATTAAAGTAGAAAAAAAAGTAAATTTTTTTAGGGATTTTCACCCATTATTTATTTTAAATCTAATTCTAAATTTCAATTAAATTGAAAAGAATCATTAGTTAATCCCGGAAATGACCGATTTTTCTACCAATAAATCGATTTTTTTACAAAACAAATTGATCCGATTTTTTTTAAACCAAATAAAAAAAATCATCAATTTTTCCTAAAATGCAACCAAATTTTCCTAACATTGCACCAATTTTTGTACCAAACAAATTGAATTAAAAATAATTTTAATAAAAAAATTGAAATAAATTGTTAATGTTTATGCAACTGTCTTTTTCCTAAAGAAAATGATATGAACTTAACCAAAAAAAAAAATGATATGAACTTACCAAAATCTCGATAAAACATGGTTAAGAAAAAACATAAGAATCCAAAAAAATCGATGCATTTAAATTTTGAAAAGTTGCACATATTTTTTCCTAAATAATTGGATAATGTGACTTTAAATATCAATGATGAACCGCTTTTGTTACCAAAAAATGTGGACACAATTTTGAATGTACATCCCGTCCAAATATCAGTTTTATTTTAAAATAAAAATTGCACGTGACTTTATCCAATTTACACAATTTTTTTAAAGAAAAAATTATTCAATAAGATTGTTAGACTTGGTTAAGAATTATACAACTATTTGCTTCCTAAATTTATATCCAATTTGCACGGTTTTTAAATTAATTTGTATTTAGAATTGTTTTCATAAATAATTGACACATTTTTTGCATAAGAATCTCCAAATTTGTTACCAAAAAAGATATGATTTAAAGTTTAGTAAAAGAATAAAATATGATACGAAAAATATGAGATTCAAATTTTGCCATAAGAATCTCCAAATTTGTTACAAAAAAAAATAGGATTTAAATTTTGTTACTAAAGATTCACATGTGTTTTTTTGAACTTTCCATTAATAGTAAGTCAAACATTATATTTATTTGGTCAAACTTTCTATTAATGTATTTTTCCAACAACCTCTTTATATATATATAGATATAGATATAGATATAGATTACTTATATTAGTAAGACAACACTTTATTTTTCAAATCAAAGTTCCTATTTTAGTATTTTTCAACAAGCTGTTTATATTATCTTGTTTTCCCAAGGGCATATCAGTCAACTTTGTACCCTCCCCCTCAGTATATCAAATGCGCAAACGAATCAGAACCCTATTGCGCTCTCTCTCTACAGCATAATTTCTCCCTCATCCGTTTCTTTGATAAGTTTTCTGTAACCTGTATTTTCGGACCTTATCCTCGGTGTTCTCTATCGTATTCAACAGGTAAAAATAGGCTTCTCGTTTATTTTTCAAGCAAAATTGGGGTTTTTGAGCTGCTGTTCATGTTTTCATGTTTTGTTTGTTTGTTTATAATCTGTTTGAGAGGGTTAACAACGAAAAGATTGAATTTTGTTAACTGATCTGTTGTTTCCGGCAGGTAAAAATGGGAGACGCTAATAAAGAGAACGATGCCTATGAGGAGGAGCTTTTGGATTACGAGGAGGAAGAGGAAAAAGCCCCAGATTCCGTCAACGCTAAAGTCAACGGAGAGTCCGTTAAGAAGTGAGTTTACCGGCGGATCTCGGCTTTCTTCTTACTTAAATACATAATTCCCAATCTGCCTGCTTTCAGCCTTTGCTTGTAATTTGAAATATTTAACAATAGTCAAAGGGAATCGATTCCGTCAAAGATGAGATTACTGAATCACATGAAATTTTATCCAACTATACCGTTTAAAACTATATATACCATTTTTGTCTCATCACCTGGTTTATTTACTGGTAAAATCTGTATAAAGTTCCTATTTTGTTTTACAAAAGGAAGTGATTAGTTTTAGTGGGATTCCGCACCTTACCTTATTGTTAGCTTGTGTTGCGTGATCTGGTTCATAGATCTCTGCTTTATTGTAGGGATTGGTTGTGTCTTTTTTACACTCTGTTTTTATCTATTTTCNATCTCTTGAAGTAATCTATACGTTTTTTACAACAGGGGATATGTAGGGATTCACAGCTCTGGATTCAGGGATTTCTTGTTGAAGCCAGAACTCTTGAGGGCTATTGTTGATTCAGGGTTTGAACATCCATCAGAAGGCAAGATACTCCATCTGTTTTATCGTTGCATAAATTTTTAAAAAGTGATCTCTGCACATTCTTAGAACATATAGACTTGGTTTATCTTTGTTTCAATTTAACTTTATAGAATGAGATGTTGGATTTATTGGCGAGAACTCTTTATATGGCCTGAATTTTCAGTTTTTACAATTATGAGAAATATACTTAATTCTGCACCAAATTTGCGGGGCCTTTATGTGTTTGAATTATTTAAAGATCATAAATTTTTCTTTCGGTTCTTGTCACAAGGCTAAAGAGTTCTGCATTAGCATTGTTTTGTTTCGAGCTTTGTTGTCACTGTTATCCTAGAGAAAAAAACAAAATATGGAAAGAATCATCCTATGCATATTATTCTTCCGTTGTGTTCTTCGTCGTCTTAAGTTAACAATCCTATGTGATATGTTGACTTACGACTTGGTGTTCTTCCACAGGTAAATCACTACTATCACTCTACCTTGAAGAAGTTGAATGGTAAATCCTTTTTTAATTGAAACTGAGGCTTCCTTGGATCAAATTTCTTTGGTTCTTCATCAGTTCAACATGAGTGCATTCCTCAAGCAATTCTTGGGATGGATGTAATTTGCCAAGCCAAGTCTGGTATGGGGAAAACTGCTGTGTTTGTTCTTTCGACGTTGCAGCAGATTGAACCCGTTTCAGGTCAAGTTGCGGCTCTTGTTCTATGCCATACTAGGGAACTGGCTTATCAGGTATACATCTAGCCTTTTTGCATCTTTCGTAGTCTATGAATTGCTGCTTGTATTCATGGCTGTTCAGTTTAACTCATCATTTTTTTTTTTGTTTAATTTTCAGATATGTCACGAATTCCAGCGATTCAGCACTTATCTTACTGATGTCAAGGTTGCTGTTTTCTATGGCGGTGTCAACATCAAAATCCATAAAGATCTTCTGAAGAATGAATGCCCACACATTGTTGTGGGAACCCCAGGAAGGATACTTGCTCTAGCTAGAGACAAGGAGCTTTCCTTAAGAAATGTGAGACATTTCATTCTGGATGAATGTGACAAGATGCTAGAGTCTCTTGGTATGATGGGCCGTATAGCTTACTTTGCTATGTCATCATATGATCTCCTGACCATCTTTGCAGCATGGATACAATAGTACTAATCAGGTCATTTTTATGTTTATCCCAGATATGAGGAGAGACGTGCAGGAGATTTTCAAAATGACACCTCATGACAAGCAGGTTATGATGTTTTCGGCTACGCTCAGCAAGGAGATTCGACCCGTCTGCAAGAAATTCATGCAAGATGTAATGTCCTGTGGTCAACCCTATTTGAGTTTTGAAGTGCACTGTATTTCCTTGGTCTAGCATTCTTCAATCTACATTTTTGTCAAGAACTTGGTGGTTGAAGCACTTCGTTCTTGCCATGTTATATGTTTTGTATGCCCATCTGACATCTGATGCTTCTTTGGAAGGGTTTGGTAGAGGTGGTGGGACATTGAGTCAGCAAGGTCTATAGCTGGTGCCTGATGTTGCTATTTTTGTGTGGTTTGGGTTTTTCCTCAGTTAGCTTTGATTTTTTGTTTCTTTTATTTTTAAAATAAAAAATAAGACTAGGAGTGTTTGAGGGGAACATAGGATGTTCAAATCATGGATATGTAGGATTACTTTGAGCAGCAAGGTGACACTAGTTGGTTTGAGTGGTAAAGTCTCTGCAAGGAGTTGACTTGGATGGATTGGAACCTCAATAAGAGCCATGGTCATCCATCAATTCATTTCATAGTGGATACAATCAGCGTGTCATGGGCCTCTAATATATGCTTTACTGTGACATTCTTCATTTCAGCCTATGGAGATATACGTGGACGATGAGGCAAAATTGACCCTTCATGGTCTTGTACAGGTTTGATGCTATCTGAATGGTTTTGTTTGGTTCAGTAGTTGCATTTTTCCTCAATGGACATCCTCTTCTTGGCAGCACTATATCAAATTGAGTGAGCTGGAGAAAAATCGCAAGCTGAATGATCTGCTTGATGCATTGGACTTCAACCAAGTTGTCATCTTTGTCAAAAGTGTCAGTAGAGCTTCCGAGCTGAACAAGTTGCTTGTGGAGTGCAATTTTCCATCCATTTGCATTCACTCTGGAATGTCCCAAGAAGAAAGGTGAGTATTGCTTGTTGGAGCTGTAATGTTTTCAGGATGTTCCCTTTTTCCCATGCTCTAATGAGGAAGTAAATGCTCAAGTCAGATAAGGTTCACTCACAAGTCACAAATTATTGAAATCTTGTAGTTGTGTAAGTTTTGTATGTTTTTTATGTGGTCAAATGAAGGCATAATAGTTTCTATTTTCTAGAATGCATAGAGGGAATATTTACTTATGGCTGATATGCCTCGATTATTTCTGACCCAATATTGTGGATGGCAGATTGACGCGGTACAAGGGGTTCAAGGAGGGGCATAAGAGGATTCTTGTGGCAACAGATTTGGTTGGAAGAGGAATTGACATAGAACGAGTGAACATCGTGATTAACTATGATATGCCAGATTCTGCAGACACATACCTGCACCGAGTATGAAATGTTTTCTCTTTTTGTTTCTTTTTCTTTTTTTTCTTTTTTTTTTTNATTAGTTATTTAGTTCTGATTTTCTGCATAATTGCTGCCATGTGCCAGGTGGGCAGAGCTGGGAGATTCGGCACCAAAGGACTTGCCATTACATTTGTTTCTTCTGCTTCTGATTCAGATGTCCTCAATCAGGTTTGGTGCTGTGATATATGGGTATATTCATATTTTTTTCATCGGTTGGACTCAGTTAGGTTTTTTCTTTGTGTTTCAGGTCCAGGAGAGGTTTGAAGTTGATATTAAAGAACTTCCCGAGCAGATTGACACATCTACATACAGTAAGTTTTACACTGGTTGCTTTTCACCATGATGTCTTCCTCTATGGGTCACTTCTTTATAAGCATGTGGAGATGCACGTATAACTTTTTGCAGGATATACTTGGGGCCTTTTCGTGTTTTATATACCCTTAGGATATCCTTCAATATCTTCATCTGTTGGTATATGATTGCCATGATTAGGTTAACACTATATTCCTGTTGTATGTCTGTGTGTATTGGCTTATGGTAAATGGAAATTGGCTTGTCAATGGTTTTTGCATTTGGTGTATGTTTATTTATGCAAACTTCAGCATGTATACACTGCTCTTCTTGAGGGGTCATGTTAGTTAACAATTATCATTTCACATCTGTGCAGTGCCATCTTAGATTGGTCATTGCTTGAAAGCAACAACTTGTCCCTACAATCGGTGCAGCCACTGGTAATTTGTTTTCTTGATCTAAATTCAACATTTGAAAGAAGGATTTGGGGGATTTGGCTGATGGATTGTTGTACCCTTCATATTACTTCGTGCTAGGAGAGTATCTTATGCAGTATTTAGCTAGGGACAATTTCATTTCTGATGGTTATGCAACACTGCCATGTATTTTATTTGCTGCCGGTTTTTATGGATTTTGCTAGACGTTATTTGACAACAGATTATGTTGATTTTGGAAATTTCAGCGTTTTCTGTGACTAGCCATATTTAAGTGGTTTTCTGGATGAAAATGTACCAAAATAGCTTTCAGTGCCAGCTGATAAAAAATTTTCAATTCAAAAGAATTAATGAAAATTTGAGACTTTAGTCACTTTACCAACTATGTTACCCCAATTTTGTGTGAAAAGCACCTAATTTTTTAAATGTAATGAAATGAGGTGGTCAAACACATCACCGCCCATATACTGTCACAAGTTCTAGGGGTGTTCATCGACCGAATCGAAGAACGAAAACCGAATTAACTGAAATGCTATAAGTAAAAAACCAAACCGACCGAAATGTATCCTTAAACCAAAAATTAATCGAACCGAATTATTCGGTCGGTTAACCAAATGTTTACAAAAAATAATTCAGAAGATTCAGAACTAAGCATTCCCAAGTCCCAACAGGACGATGTAGAAAATACACTTACATACATGATTCTCACAAACATAGATACATCATTAACCAATTCAGTCAACATGAACATTTCACAATTCACAACACATATATGATATTCAGTACCAGTCTGCAATTAAAAAATAAAACAAAAAAGATTTTGTACCTTGATTTGAGATTGAACTGAGATTTTGGGAGGGAGACGAATTCGCCTTGACGGTGAACAACCGTGTGCCCGGCCGACGGTTCGACGACCGGCGACAAAGAGTTCCTTACCGGCGAGAAGGAGTCGCAGCTTTTGGGGACGATTTTTTACGAGAAGATGATTTGGGCGATTTAAGGCGGAGGAGCGACGGCGGTAGATTGGGGATGGCGGAGGATTTGGGGAAGGGAGACCGACGGGCAATTTGGGAAAGGGAGATGGAGAGCGGAGGAGCAGCGGCTAGGGATGTAGGGGCGGAGGATTTGGAGACAGCGGCGGCTAGGGGTGTAGGGGCGGAGGATTTGGAGATAGCGGCGGAGGATATGGGGAAAGATTTTTGGAATGCGAAGGAGACAGGAATTAGGATTATGTTAATGTATATTTGTATTAAAATATTATATTATAATATATAATATGATATATATATATATATATTTTTTATTCGGCCGGTTTGGTTTTTTCGGACATTTTATGTCCAAAACCGACACCGACACTGACCGAAAAAACAGAAAATTTACAAATTGAAAACCAACTACCGACCGAGTCGAACAAAAACCGAGCCGAATTGGTCGGTTCGGTCGGTTTCGGTCGATTTTAGTCGAATTTTGAACACCCCTAGTCACAACCTATAATTCTTGAACAACAAAAAACATAAAGAAAGAAAATACCAATTTTTTTAAAAGAAAAAAATACCAGCTTAAATAGATCACAGAAATCAAGGTACTCAATATCTTGATTCGTTGAAAATTTCTATCTACTAGTACAGAATAATATTGTAAGCGAAAATCGTGGATCTTAGATCTCTATTAAAGTTGAAATCTTTGCACAAAAGTGCCAATGCAGATCACTCATCCATAAATGTTTAGAAGAAAAGGTAAAGGTCTGTCGGTACCAGGCAGAAATATAGAAATGAACAATACTCCACAAGCATGAGTCCCCAGGAGAGGAACATAGATTTTTCTCATGTTTCAAACAAAACACACAAACTGCAGAAACAACTGGAAAAAACTCTGTAATTAAGTATACGATAAAAATCCGATCTTTGCATCAATGGCAGTACAAAAATCAGTACCATGAAGACGAAATGTGCTTTCTATAGGCCCAGCAGCACCCATGACAACGATATTACTTACCCATCAAAACTTAAATCTAAATCTAGATCCAATAGAAGAAAAGGTGTAATATCCATCAAAACTTAATCTAAATCTAGATCCAATAGAAAACAGCTAATCCAGATCCAGCACGGAACAAGAAAAGCTCACCTGCAAAACCTTAAATGTATTCTTCTAAACAACAACTCCCCAGTTAGGCCTGTGACTCTCCCTTCTTCTCATTCCCATCTCTGTTCCCCTCGCCCAACAGCTTCCTTTCCTCTTCCTCTGCCATTTGTGCCTTCTTCTGTGCCTCATTTACCTTCAGAGCCTGCAATTTCGAGTGGTTATAATACCCCACTCCCAAAAACGCCAACCCATATCCAAACAAATTCAGCGGCGTCACAGTGTCCTTAATCACGGACCAAGAGAAAGCAATCAACAGCCAATCTTTCACCACACCAGCTACATTCATGGTCAAAGCCGAAGTCTTTCCAACCAGCAAGAACACAGCCAAATTCAAGGCGAAGGCACACAATGAATTAGTACCAAAAATCAGAAAATCGAAATGAAATCCAGAAAAATGCTGCTTCAAAACTGGATACTCCACCAACAGCCACGGAACCGAAAGAAAGGCCAAACAGCTGGGGGCGACATAGTAAAGAGAGGTGATGGGGTTTAAGCTAATCCCTTTGGAGGTCAACAAGATCTGAATCAACACCAGCCTCGTCGCCTCGAAGACAACGGCGCCAAGCTGCAGAAAGACCCCCCAAGAATCGTACTTGGCCTCTCCATAAGCAGCGATGGCAACCCCAAAAGAAATCGCGAGCATGTTGGACATAGTGCTGCCTTTGTAGCTGTCCTTTTTGAAGAGGATCCCGATGGAATAAACGGCGACTGGCATGAGGGCTTTGAGCATCTGGATGAAGGAGACGGAGAGGTAGATGTAGGCGGAGTTGGAGAGCCAGAGGGACATGGAGTAGAGGGCGCCGATGGGGAGGACGGAGGTGAGGTAGACGCGGCGGGTGAGGGCGGCGGGCTCGACGAGCTTGAAGACGCGGACGGCGGCGAAGGCGAGGGAGGAGCAGAAGGCCATGTGGATCATGGTGAGTGAGATGGGGAAAGGCCAGTTGTAGAGCTTGCGGTCGAGGATGTACTTGTTGTAGACGATGACGGAGAAGGAGAGGAAGATCCAGATGGCGACGTATGTGTAGGAAAGGACGATGTTCTTCACCACCCCATCGGAGAGCGCTCCGCCTTTCCCCATCGGTGGCTGTGTGCGGCGATCTGAGGGGAGCAAACGGCGTCGTTAGCGAGAGGGGATTTGATTAGAAAGAAAAGAGTTTTTTTTTCTTCACTTTGTTGTGTTTGTTTAATTAAAAAGTGAGAGTAGAGAAAGAAAGTGGGGATGACAGATTGGGATTATGCACCCGACACCTGTCCCGTCATTTTATTTTTTTCTTTTCTCAATTTGTTTTCTCATTTCCTACTTTTGCTATTGAGTTGGGTTTGAATTGAGGCAAATGTGTTGGGTAAATACAAAGACGATGATGATGATAAGGCAAGACTAGAGAAAACTGGTGTTCAATCATACCATCCGATCAAGCAATCCACAACTAAATGTAATAGAGAAAATTGGTGTTCAATCATACCATCCGATCAAGCAATCCCCAACTAAATGTAATGTGTTTGGGAGTTTGTAATTGTAACATCACCACTACCTTCTTGTCCCTCCTAATCGGCACGGTCCACGATCACCGTCCTTTCTTGACTTGGCCGAGCCGCGGCGGCGGCTGAGGCCTCTTCTCGGCCCCTTCCGGAGTCTTGCCGCCCCATCTTCTCCACCGGCTCTGGTGAGGGTTGTTGTTTCCGCCTCCGCTTGTCGTTTCCGCCTCTGTTATGGAGCGGGAGCCCATCAAGATGTTGGTTCTCAGCCTCGTGTGCTTCGTCTCTTCATCTTGTAGGTGTGCCGGCCAACGCCTATGGGTTATGTGGTTCCGGTCGTCCGCTGGTTTGCCTGACCTAGTCGGGATGTTCGTCCGTGTGGGATTTAAGGCCTCCTTGGGTTTTTGTTCGAGGACACCGGCCATCTCCTGGCGGCTCCCTTCCTTCTCATGGTACCGTGTTGCTTTGGGTCCAGATCTGGATCGAAAATTCGTCTGGGCAGTTTGAATATCCGCAGTTTTCGAGTTTGAAATCTAGATCTGTTGTTTGTTTGCGGTTCGGTGCCGTGGGTGCGTCTCGGTTGTCAGTTTGAGTGGTCGTGTGGATCGTCTGTTAGGCTAGGGGAGGTTTTATTCTAGTTGTGTATATTAGGTGTGTGTTTGTTATCTTTTTGATGGGTTTTGTTTGTAAAAGTCCAGTTGCGTCTCGCTTTTCGTCTCCTTTACGGAGTTCCACTCTTCTTTATGGAGTTGGATTTTTTGTGTGTGTGGTTAGCTCCTTGATGGAGTTTGTACCTCCTGCACACATGTGTACTTCCAAGGTCCAGATTTTATGGATCTTGTGTGTGTTAGTGTTATATACTGAAAGATTGACTTTGGATGATATTACACTTTTGCCCTTTATGAATGAGAATCACATTTGATTAAACAAGTTCTATGTTCTGTTATTTTGCACTTAGATAGAATTGGTCATCATCGGGTGAACAGAAGATCATTCTATCAATTACTTGCGAAACAAGAATTGTGGTTCACAACCTGGATAGAAATGAGCACCCCATCCGAATGGTTGTAGTGTCAACAGTACGATTGGTCTTGACTGATTAGTTTTACTAGTACATTTATGTATTGAACAGATCCCAAAGAGGAGAAATTCGTTTTATACTGATCGTCGTAAACGAACTAGGCCTCGGTTAATTACTGTGTTCTCTTACCCCGTAAGATATTAAACAGACATATATATGCAGTACATATTACTTTGATTCACTTGGGTGAGATTCAGTTCGTTGGACTAATATTCTTACTGTCTTGGAAAATATTGTTGTATGTATGATGTGCTGTTAGAATATTTACGGTCACCATGTGCATTAGTTTGATCTCGAAGTGAGTTCATGAAGGATTGTTATGTTAAACCCTGTAGGTGGATTAAATTTCGGTATAATAATAATGTGATGAACGAGCGCTAGCTTTGGTAATAAATATATTAATGCATTCATTATTGTCAATAATTGAATTTATTAATGAACATTATATCTTAAACATAGGGATGTAATTCGAGTAATTATTAATGGAGTCCTAAAATATAATTAAGGTTAGAAAAGGTAGTGCAATAATATTACGTTAGTAGACCGTAATATTATTTAAGTAATTGGAAGAGTGGGCTTGGCCTACAGTTAGTCCATTACTTAAGAAACCGTACTCATATTCTCCTAAGGATCCCTACTGTAACTCTATATATACATCATTAAGCTCATGAGAAGATAATATATTTGAGCAGTACACGTCAAAATGTGCGCCCCCATACTCTCTCTCTAGATCTCATTTGAGCTTTATCTTCTTCTTGTTGTCTACCGGTACAAGTTGAAGAGGTGTAAGAGTGATACAGTAGAAGATCCCGAAGGTAACTGAGACCTCATGATCATAAACCGAAGTCGAGGAACCTCGACCCAAAGGCCGAGATCTGCCGACCCCAGCCCGCCGAACGGACGTATCCCCGCGACGAGCCTGGCCATCTGTTCGTGTGATCCCGGCTTCCTCGTGTGTTGTTCCCGGTCATCCCGAATCAAACAGATTCATAAAATTTTAAGCCGTAAGTTTTCTATGTCAAACCTTTAGATCCGCTGCGCATAGGTTTACGCTTGCTATTGAATTCATGACTTGTACATAACGAGATCCTCATAAATCTCAACGGTGTATCAGTTGACACTCCTCTTGTACTCGTTTGCTATAGATCCGCTTGCTATTGAATTCGTGACTTGTACATAATGAGATCCTCATAGATCCCTCCTCTTGTACTCGTTTGAGTTTTCAGTAATTAATATATTTGTCGTTTGAAAAACAAATATCAGATTAAAAGATTACAATATCTTGGTATGTGGGAACATTTTAATGTCTCCACAATAAACGGATGATCATTTGTTGTCACCAATTAAAGTTTAGTATTCTATAAATAGCAAATTGTAAGCAATTCTCACGGTGCCACCAATTACAGTAGAGTATTCTATAAGTAACAAATTGTAAACAATGCTCACATTCTCTGCGTCACTCGCATGGTCCTTGGGTACCAAAACCTCAAGGACAGATTTTCACCCAATGTCGGCAAGCTACCAGAGCTCGAATTTCTATTTTTAGAACGACAATCTCGTTCACCAAATCTCAAATCAAATGGCTAAATTGCATAAGCCCGAAATTCTGAATCGACCCAATAATTGCCTCATCGGCGTCCTAGGTAGTCAACAGTTGGGCTTATCCTAGCTAGTTAACCTCTACATTCTCAATTTACACGATTTTTATTTCCTGGAACATTTCCCAACCTAAAGATATTCAATCTCGCCGACAATGATTATTTATTTTCTTGCGAGGGCAAAACGGAAAATAAAATGTGAAAGTTCTGATGATTTTTATTTCATGGAACAATACTTCCAACTTGGAGATATTTAACCTCGCCACCAACGATTATCTATTTTCTTGTTAGGGGAAAACAGGAAAATGAAATGGGAAAGAACAATCGAATAAAAGTAAATATATTTTTTGAACAAAAGAAAAAGTGGTTAAATGGTAAATAAAAAGGGTTCGAGAGTTTATGCCTTGTAATTTGTGAGAATGTGGGAAAAATATATTCTATTATTTACAAAGAGGGTACACATATATATAGATACACATATGAGCCTTTGCCTAAACCTAACTTATAGTACAATATCAATATTTACATATGTAACACCCCCCCTCAAACTCAAGGTGGTATCGTGGAGATCAACTTGAGTTTGCTAAGAAGTAAACAAAAGCGACCGGGAAGGAGAGACTTGGTGAAGACATCCGCTGGTTGATCTGTAGAGGAGACGGGAACAAGCTTCACAGTCCCACGTGCAACATGTTGTCGAATGAAGTGACAATCAATCTCAATATGCTTGGTGCGCTCATGAAAGGTATCATTATGAGACATCTTTA